TCCTGAAACCCTGCTTGTCATGGCTATTGCCGGGTTGAAACCGAACTCAATTTTCCATTAGACGTTGTGTCAAAATAAACCCAACACCTTTCAAGAATTTCTTGCTCGAGCTCAGCAGCACATCATAGCCGAGGAAGCCATGTCGGTCCCCGACTTTAATTTTAACCCGAAGTCATCCAAGGCGGGAACTGACGAGAAGAAGAAAAATAAGTTTTTTGAAAAGCAGAATAAGGCTCAGTTCAGAGGGCCTCCTCGGAGGGATCCCAACGATCCTGAAGTACGAGCAACCCGAAAACAGTATGCCACCGATGTAAAATCTGGTTATCAGACTGTATATTCAACTGAGGCTGCCACCATATACGAAGAAATCAAAGGGAAAGGCTTTTTACCGGACCCCAAGCCACTGCGGATGCCCGAAGAAAAGTTGGACAAATCCCGATATTGCGATTATCACAAATCGCCAGGACACAATACTGACGAGTGCTTAAGCCTACTAGCTGCTTTGTTGCGTTTAATCGGTCATTCAACAGCTCAGAAAGTTCTATCGTAACTCCGATCCTCAGAAACAGGGCCCAGGGCATCCAATGGAATCTTATGATGATGACGACGAGGAGGACCGCGGTGCTATACCGAAGCGTATCTGGCAAGGAGACAAGGAAATATTCATGTTCACTTCGGAAGCGCTCGATTCCAACTCAACTGAAACCTCTCGAAGACGCAAGCGAAGCAGATCTCCCAGCCCGATGCAAATAACTGTCCACCGCGTCAATACCAACAACACTCGGAGTACATTATCCCGTCGACAAGTCAAAGCTTATGCTCGACAAGCTTACAACTCCAGTAAACAAGTGTACACCACCGATTTGAGAGACATTCTTAATAACAGGAATTGCCCCATAACTTTTAATATGGAGGATGCAAATCATTTCGCACACCCCCATTCTGACGCGCTTGTTATTACTATTCCCATATGCGGAATCCCTGTACACCGCGTAATGGTCGACATCGGGGCCTACTCGAGCATTCTGATGTTAAAAGCCTTTGACAAAATGGGTCTAGATCCTGCTGATATCCGACCTTGTAACGACCAAATACAGGGGTTTAATGGTAAAACCCATCGGCGAGATCACTTTACCTGTCAGATTTGGCATTTCGGAGAACGTCACCAAACTCGTTATGGAAACTTTTAAAATTCTTGACATCAACAACGAGTATAATGCCATCATTGGCAGAACAACGTTGTACACGAGGAGAAGGAACTCATTTCGGAGATCAAAGAGAAGCTCGAGAACTTGTCACTTTCGTACCATCCAACGGAGTCTATTCCATCACTTCGGGAAATGATGACAGTTCCTCACAACGAAACACCTCGGATAATGTAATTTCCGAGGAACCAAGTTACAACACCGTTGTTCCTCCTACCTCGGATCCTTTATCTGAAGACCGAGGTAGGCGGCCAGGAAAGGAGCCACTCCTCGAAGAAGACGATTTGGACCCAAGGGCCCAATTCAAGGAAAAAAGCCGAAATGATCGAGCCGAACCTGGAGAAGAAGTAGAATTGATATACGTCGATGAACTGATCTTCCATAAATCATTGCGTATTGGAAGTCACCTTCAGGAGCCTCTCCGGTCAAAACTCATTTCGTTTCTCAAACAAAATTCAGACGTGTTTGCTTGGAAACATGAAGACATGAAGGGTATCGACCCCGGTGTCGCTAGTCACAAATTGAACCTCGACCGAACTGTTCGGCCTACTGTTCAAAAACGTAGGAAACTGGGGCCGGATCGTCAGAAAGCATTGGAAGAAGAAGTTAAGAAACTCATTGACAACAAGTTTATTAAAGAGGCCAAATATCCGACATGGGTCTCAAACCCTGTTCTCGTCAAAAAGAGCAATGGCCTGTGGAGACTATGTATTGATTTTTCCGACTTGAACAAGGCATGTCCGAAGGACAGTTACCCTTTCCCACATATAGATTATATGGTTGACGCCACGTCAGGACACGAATTGATGAGTTTTATGGATGCTTACTCCTGTTATCATCAGATTCCTATGGATCATGAAGATTCTGAACACACCTCGTTCTATTCAGCACGAGGCTTGTACTGCTATACCATGATGCCGTTTGGATTGAAAAACGCCGGAGCCACTTATCAATGCCTTGTCAACAAAATGTTTGCTACGATGATTGGTCATACCATGGAAGTTTATGTTGACGACATGCTCTTCAAGTCGGTACACGCTTCTGACCATATAACACACCTTTAAGACATGTTTGATATCCTCCGGTTTTATTCCATGGTTTTAAATCCCAAGAAATGCACCTTCGGAGTTGAGTCTGGGAAATTTCTGGGCTATATGGTCAGCCAACGCGGAATTGAGGCCAACCCGGCCAAGATAAAAGCCTTCCAAGATCTAACTCCCCCGACTTCCGTTAAAGGTGTCCAGGCCCTAACTAGCTGACTTGCTGCGCTCAACCGATTCATCTCCAAATCCACGGATCGTTACAAACCTTTTTTCGAAGCAGTAAAAAAAGGAAAGCGCTTCGAATGGACCGAGGAATGTCAGAAGGCTCTCATCAGCATCAAGGAGACACTCGCCTCTCCGCCGACGTTACAAAAACCGAGACCCGAGGAAATGTTGTTTTTGTACCTCGGAGTCAGTGATTCTGCGATCAGTGCTGTTTTAATACGTGAAGAAGGAACGCTACAATAACCCGTTTATTACATCAGTAAAGCCCTACATGATGCCGAACTGCGCTACCCTCCTATGGAAAAATTGGCGTTTGCACTTGTAATCACCGCCCAGAAATTGCGACTTTATTTTCAAGAACATTCTATAACTGTACGCACTTCGTATCCATTGCGACAAGTCCTGCACCGACCTGACACCTCGGGACGCATGATAAAATGGGCTATTGAGCTCGGACAATTCGACATCCATTATCAACCGAGGACCGCGATCAAGGCACAAGCCTTATCCAACTTCATCGTCGAATTTACTCCGGCTATAACAGTTCATGACTGCAATCAGCCGTGGGTTCTTTACATCGACGGTTCCTCGACAGCCAACCGAGCAGGTGCAGGGATAGTCCTGGCAAACCCAGAAAATCGATTGTTTTGCCATTCTGTAAAATTCCTCTTCCCTGCAACCAATAATGAAGCCGAATATGAAGCCTTACTATCTGTATTGGATTTGGCCGGATCTATGAACGTGAAACAATTGAAGGTCTTTTCAGACTCTCAGCTCCTCGTCAACCAAATTAATGGCTCATACGAAGTCAAAGAACCTCGGTTAACCCCATATCTAGCTTTGGCAAAAAAGAAGTTATCCAAGTTTGCTGCCGAGGTAGAGCATATCCCACGAACCCTTAATGTCCAAGCAGACGCTCTATCTCGATTAGCCTCAAGTACCGGGATGGAGAGCATGGAGTATGTCCAAGTCGGACAGCAGGAGCAACCATCAACCTGTCTTTCCGAGGTCACCGTTTTAGACCCCGCAACGTCGCAAAACTCTCCGACTTGGATGGATCCTATCATTCGATATTTAGAGACCGGGGCCTTACCAGCAAATCCTAAGGAAGCTCGGGCACTTCGGATCCGAGCAGCACGATATACGCTGGACAATGGAATTTTATTCAAAAGAGGATACTCCACCCCGCTTTTAAAATGCGTGAATGAATCAGATTCGCGGTATATCCTTGAAGAATTCCATGAAGGAGTTTGCGGAAGTCACCCCGGTGCGCAAGCCTTATCTTACAAAGTCTTGCGACAGGGTTATTATTGGCCGACCTTAAAAACCGACGCCGCCGCGTGGGTTCGTAAATGTCCGAAATGCCAAATATTCGGCCCCAACATCCACCGATCTCCCGAAGAGCTCAAATCAATCTACAGTACATGGCCTTTCGCCCAATGGGGAATCGATCTCATAGGTCCCCTGCCAACCAGGAAAGGAGGTGTCCGGTTCGCCATCGTAGCAGTTGATTATTTCACTAAGTGGGCCGAAGCCGAACCGTTAGCCACAATAACCGAACAGAAAGTCATTGACTTTGTATGGAAATCCATCATCTTCTGCTTCGGAGTACCGAACTCCATCATTACCGACAACGGTAAACATTTTGAAGGCAAGCGACTTGAGTCCCTGTGCGAAGAATATAACATCAAACACTTCTTCTC